GTAGACCCATAGCAATGCAGATGAACGAGCGAATGAATAATAGTGAACGGAGAATGCTTCCGGGGCCAAAAATGGCGTGGCGTGTTTAGTTTCAGTTGGTACTGTAGGCCAGGCCGGCCGAGGAGCCTGTGAGCCTGTCAGAGGGCAAAGACAGGGCAAATCTAGCGCCACACTGATCGCCGAGAACACCGCCACACTGGGGCGCTAGACGGATCTCGTTCCTGAGTCGCCCATCTTCGGGGAATCCCAAAGGGGGGAGGGCGGAATGAGAATAATGAAAAAAAAAGTGGCAGCCTGTGCAAAGTCAGATGTCATGAATGTCTCATGAAGCATGAATCCACTCTGCAATGGCGAGCTGAAGATAACTATATTCATGACCCCCCCACCGGGTCAGGACCCGAAAACCGTGGAAGTCGAACTGGATCTGCGGCAATCCAGACGATCAATTTCATTTTCTGGAGGGGGAAATTCGGGAGAATGGCGCAGCTGAGGTAAATTGACGGGCTGTGAAGGGTAATGGAGAGCGACGACACCAGGAAGCCATGAAACAAACTGGTGATAGTTTAGAAAAAAGGGAAGGATGAGTAGGAAAAGGAGGAAGGAAAGGGGAAAAGAGGCGTTGAGTTGTTGTGTTGTACTAGTAGTAGCAGGGAAGTTCTACATTCTAGATCACGAGGCCGGTAATCTTACAGGGGGGGGGGGGGGGAAGAATACTACTTAGAGTATACAGCATGTTGGGGTGGGACAGGTAATAATACGCGTGGGCACCTGACCGGAGGAATCCCTAGTCGAGATTGATTTGATTTGATTTTATGGAGACTTATAGATTGTTCCACACGCATACTACTGTACTACTAGCTAGTCAGTCGATACATACAGTCGATATGTTCAGTTCAGTATCTAGTAGTCATGAATATCTTCTAGTAGTTAGTTATATCCATCCCGTCCAACGACTTTTCTTTTCTCCACTCAGTCTTGGTCGCTGCACTACTACTAACTAAAAAGACTCCACTTCAACACGCTCGGTCTTACTCTGGCTTCAGCGGACAAATTAGAGACTCAAGACAAGACTAGACTCTCCTCTCTTCAGTCCGCCATCTCCTGGTCCCGACAAGTAGACTACCAGTCTAGTGTTCGAGCCTCACCCGGTCCAGGTCGCCTTATACCGTCGATACTGGATACTTGCTGGTTTGCTTGATCTTCACTGGGTCGGGAACATTCGCTAATGAGTTTAGCGGGCCCTTTTTCTCCCCCCAACTTTCCTCCGCCAGCCGATATCCTGAATGTGGCGCTCTATCTGGACAGCTGAACCTGCCTTGCGTTGAGACGTTCCTGGTCCTATGACGGGGGTGCATTACAGTTGGAGTCCCCATTCCCGTGGGTTTCGTCTTCCCCTTCATTATGCTCTCGTGGCTGAACATGACAGAGCTGGACCTGGAGGGGCCACTTTCACACTATCCCAACACAACCCCCCCCCTCTCTCTCCTCTCTTTCCTTCTTCCTTTTTCTCTCTTCCCTGCCCGTAGTTAGCTTAGATTACACACACCTGCAATGCGAGCTTCAAAACCACGCTGCGATCCCACTAGACGGGGATTTTTTTTGTTTTACTGTAGATGTCCCTGCATGGTGGAGTCGCGCGCACCTTTCCTTTTCTCCCTGGATACTATAATATCAAAACAGACTATGGGAATTTCCCTCACCGGATCGTTCCAGGACAGTGGTGCTTGAATATTTTTTTTTCTTTTTGATTTGTTGATGCGCCATGCTTGCGCCATGCTGGTCTTAGTTATAAGTACCTTCCAGATCGCATCCTTGAGAAAAGAAGTCGTTGGTTTTTGAATTGTAACCACTTGCCTTATCCATTCTTCATTTACTTATTTACTTCCTCTCTCATACCTCCCACCCCATCTTCCAACCCTATCTGTGATACTCTGCGACTACTTTTACCACAACTAGCCTGGGAGTGACTATCTCTCACTCTATCTCTTCTACTGCTATCGTCATCTCTTCCCCTTCCTGGAACCGGAAAGAAGCACTATACAATAGAGAGATTCCAACTATATCCGGTAAATAACCACTACTTCCCAATTGCGCGGGTTACACAGCTCTCCCCCCCTCCAAAAATAGATATCCCTAATACTTACTGATATACATTAGAGAATAATCAAAATCCTGCATTATTCCGTCAGCAGGGAAAGCAAGCAGTGCGTGTGAGTGTGTGGTGTGCGGCCCTAGGACCTAGCACATCTAGAGAATCCTGCAATGAGCTGTATGGACCATGAATGGTCAATCCCGAAAAAAGACATTCGGATCCTTTCCTTCGCCATTCTGTACGTGGTTGCCAGCATATTCTGCATTCTGGTCCTACTAGTTCAGCGTCTTCGCCGTCCACCACGCTTTAGATCCTTCGCCTACGTACCGCCAGAGAGGCAAATGATGGACCCGCCGCCCTTTACGCCGTCCGAGAAGTGCGATCGTGGTGGTATCGTGGGTAGTGGTGGCGAAGAGCCCGTCGGCAGGACTGCAGCAGTGGGCCTAGGCCTAGTTCAGGGCCACGGCTACGGCGTAGGCTATCTCAATGACCCAGCCTCCCAGGGCGTTGGTCCATTCCCTTCAGCCTGTGATGTCCTGCAGCCACTTTCCCAGCTGTCTCCCTTACCTTCTAGTGGTTATCTAGCGGCTGTCCTGGCCCGCGAGCGGAGCCTTTGGACAAAGCAAGCATCTGGAACCGACGGTCATCTGGTGCCGTTGTCGCCCGGGTGTGCCGCCTCCGCCCCTGTCCACGACCATCGTTCAGCTACACCCCCCGCGGTGAGGTTGGATGATCGCCTCGGTGACTCGTCATCTGAAGCGCCAACTCACGGTTCCATGGTGGTGTCAGATCCTCTGCGCCAGCCCGGAATTCCTGCGCCGGTTCAGTGGTATGCCAACCCTATTGCTACTAGCCACGAACAGGGGGTCCCCAGTATCGCAAACCTTATCGGATCCCATCCTTCCCAAAAATGCGGCTACGCAGTTCAATTCATGCACGATGCAGATGAGGAGGGTACGCGCTCCTGGCGACGGTTGATGATTGAGTACAGCTAGCCTTAGCTGACTGATGGTGTGATGTTTCCTCTTCGAGAACGATGCATTGTGGGGTTCTTTTCATCCTCCGGGATTTGGCTTGCTCTTTTTCCCTTTCCCTTTTTAGTTGTGGGCTTCGCTGTTCAGTTTACCTGTTCTATTGTTTTTTCCCCCTCTCCCGGGGACGCTTATGAGGATTTTCGGGCTAGTAGCATAGGGCGTCTGTCCCGAACGACAGCGCCCAAAAGGATGGCAGACTGTGCTTTAATTTTTTTTTTTTTTTGTACCTACCTAGCTTAGCATGCAATGATGATTGATGACCTCCACGATGACAATCATCTAGTACCTTTGCGAGCAATACTTGGAGGCGACGAACTCCCTCCAGCAAGCGCGAGAGAGAAGAGAACAACTGAACCCCGAGAGACGCTCTATAGTCCCCGATTTCCCGATTAGGACTAGCCCAAACATCCAGCTCGATCTGGATGAGTCAGCAGATCTACAGGCCTCCCCGTCACCACATGATGGAATGGCCAGAAGAGCTTCATGCCCAACCTTCCCCTCCTCTTGACTTCTCCCAGCACACATAGCAGAAGCAGAGAAGATGACTCTCACAGCCTACGCCTCATACCCGGACTCTCCGGACCTCGCTGCTTTGAACCTCTCGCGCCTGGTTGCTCGTTTAGAACATAACCTTCTCTCCTCGTCCGCGGATCTGAAGCCACTACGCCAGTCAGAATACCAGCGCATGAGAGTCGGAGCAGTACGTCCTCGTGCCTTTCTCCTACTCGAAACTACCTATCGCGTTGCATAGTCGAGGATACAGCTACAGCCACCGCCATGACTATTGACTAACCTATAACCAAAGAACATAGAATACGCCCGCACCAACCTCCAAACCCTCGAACGCACCCTCCCCCAGATCAAACCCACCGACCGTCGCAACGACCTACAGTCCGACCTAACACGTCAACGGCAGGTCCTCAAACAGCTCCAGAATGTCCTCGACGAGATCAGTAGTTCCCAGGCGGAACCTCAAGCCGACGACGACGAAGAGGAAGACGACTCTCTAGACGGTGAAGACCTCCTCGGTACCCCAGACGAGGGCAGCACCACCGACGAACAACTCGAACATGAAGAGAAGGACCGTGATATCGTACCGGACGATCATGAGCCAACAACAACAGCAGCAGCACCTATCACCAACACTCTACCCGCACCACCAACGACCACCGAACCATCCTCCCAAACCCCAGAAGCCACTCCCGCCCCGACACACGAACAACCATCGACAACTCTCCGAAACAGATCACACGCACCCACAACAACCCCCTCCACCGCAACAGCCAGCGCAACCGGCTCCTCTTTTCAGAAGAACCCTCCTTCCCCACAACAATCCTCAGATGCCCGATTACAAGCGACAGAAGAGACGCTGTCATCTCATCGCGCGGAACAGGAAGACCTGACATCGTCTATGCTTGCGCTAGCAACGCAGCTGAAGACTTCGGCTCAGACGTTCCACTCCTCCCTGGAGGCGGAGAAGTCGGTGCTGGCTCGCGCGGTGGATGGGATTGATCGCACGGCGGGGAATATGAAGGTCGCGGAGCAGCGTATGGGCATGTTGCGGAGGATGACGGAGGGGAAGGGCTGGTGGGGACGGATGATGTTGTATGCGTGGATTTTTGGGATGTGGCTGGTGGCTATTTTGATTGTGTTCTTAGGGCCGAAGCTGAGGTTTTGATTTTTTTTGGGGGGGGAAAGTGAGTGTCCATTGGGGAGGAAGAGAGTGCCGAGTGACAATAGTTAGTAGATAGTATTATTATCCGCTGGGCGGAGATTGAAGCTGGACCTGGGCCTAGAACCTGGACATTTGGTGTAGATACATGCTAATAATTGATAAAATATTGTTAAACACTTTTATTAGTTCTTCTAATGTACACCGACTCTACGCGAAAACACATTTTTAACAGAAGATATATTTCACAATCCTTAACTCTGACTATAACCCAATGACCGACCCGGCATGACACATGAGGAAAAGACATGATATTCAGCGTACCCTGTCAATCTCCCGTGCCCGTGGCCTTGTCGTCGTTCATTGCCCTCCAATGTACGTGAGACCCATATGGAAGAATGCGTAATATATGGTTACACACAGAATTGCGGACGAGGGGCACCAAGAGATGATGGGATATCCAGCTGGGGAAAGAAGACACAGGATGAAAAAGGAAAAGCGGAAAGAGGGGGTGGAGGGTAACGCGAACACGGAGGGAGGTAGACCAGAAAACGACGCGGGAATCCCATATAAGTAAATAAAGGAGAAAAGAAGACACGCAAGCACGGGCTCTAAGAAATCTATAAATTCCGATGGAACCACAGATGACCCGCTGCTCACAGAGAAGAGAAACAGAATAGAAAGTGCAAAGGTAAAACAACTCCTGCTCTGTGTCATGGGATGGATATCGGTAATGCTGATAACAAAGAGCCGGCTAGATATCATTTCAAGACAAAGGAAATAGGGAATTAGTAAAATAGACAAGTGAATGTCTCAACGCCAGGATCTCTCAAAAGGGAGGAATAAAAAGAACAGAGTGCGACATGGTATGGCAAAAAGCAAAACAGACAAGATTACAAGTCACATAGCATACGGTCTAAATGTCGAGAAGTTCTCACTCGAGCGAAATATACCGGTCATTAGATCAAACCACACAGTCTCAGGTTTTCTTGGATGATGATGTCTAATGAGAGTCAGTATCTGAGCATGAAACGGTTCGATGAGTGTGCGGAACATACCGTTAACTGCGGCCATGACGAAACGGATCTGTGTGGTATCCGTAGCACATGTGAAGTGAGTGTAAATCTGCTTCTGCTCGGCTTGGTTGAGAGAGACAAAGCGGTTGAGGATGTAGTCGCAGGCGGCGGCGTAGTCGGCACCACCCTCGTAGTCGGGGAAGTAGTTCTTCATAGGGCTGACGGGCAGCTTCTCCTTGAAACGATCGATCTTGTTCAGGAAGAGAATGATGGAAGTCTTGACGAACCACCGGGAGTTGCAGATGGAGTCGAACAGGGTAAGCGCTTCCTGCATACGGTTGACGGTCTCGTCCTCGAACAACAGCTGGTCGTATTCGGAGATGGCGACCAGGAAAAGGATCGTGGTGACGTTCTCGAAGCAGTGGATCCACTTCTTACGTTCCGAACGCTGGCCACCGACGTCGAACATGCGGTAGGTCAAATCACCGATGATGAAAGTAGTCTCGGTGATACCGGTGGTCTTGACACGAGAGCGGAGGACATCCTGGTCGGTGGGAAGGTAGTCAGGCTGCGCGATACGGTCGATGGCATCGAAGTAGCTAAGAAATCGGTTAACAGAGGCTCCTGACGAGCCCGAGACAGATGCGGCACTTACTACTTGGCGGAATCGTTCAGCTGGTATTCGCGAGACCGCTTGAAGCACTCCTGAACACCGCTGTCGCGCCACAGAGCACCAATGGCGTTACCGACCTCCGGGGGCAGGTTGTCGCCCTCGATCTGAGCGGGCTGCATGAAGACGGTCTGGACGTGGTACTCATTGCGAGCATCCTCCAGAGGCAGCTCCAGCGACTCCATAGCCTCCAAGATGACGCGCATAGACTGGACGGTGTTGCTGTAGATGATTTCCTTGAAGGACTCGCGCTCATCGCGGGAGTAGCTGCCCTCGTGGATCAGCTTCATCTGCTTGAGAATGGTCGATTTTCCGGACTCTCCAGCACCTGTTCAAGACATCGTTAATCTTGCGTCCCAGCGCGAAACCTACACGGGGGTAGAGAGAGAGAGAGAGCGCATACCTAGCAACAGCATCTTGATTTCGTTCCGCTGCATCATCTTGTCCCGCTTGAGCTGGTTCTCAATCTCCTCGTTACGGGCCTTGCCCTCCTTGTCTTCAGTACTCATTCCACAACCCATTTTGGCGGCGATTAATGAACGTGGGAGTGATGGATGAAAAGTCTAATGTGTAGCGGGGGGGACGGAGTTGGGTGGGCGGGTGGTAGTGAACGTCAAGAGTAACGAGCCTGTCCGCAGGGAAAGATGTCAGTCAGCCATGGAAGCGAATTCTCCGTGTATTGTAAAATTGGGAGCCGGCCAGCCCCTTGCCCCGTCGACCGTGGGTGTACGCGGAAAGAACCACTATCGGACACCCCAAGAAAAACAATCGAATGAACGATGCACGATTTGATTTTTGAGTGTCGGAAGAGGATCAGAACCAAAAGGCAGCAGTCTCCCCAGGCCCAGAGATCGTGCTGACGCAAGGAGGTGCAGCTGATGCATCAACCGGAAGGCCTGGGAGCACCGTCCACCATGGGGGAGGAACTCCGGGGCAGAGAGGAAGCGCGAGGAGGAAGAGGGAACAACGACGTGAAAAGGGCCACTCACTTTGCTCGAAAACTTGATATATCAAACTCCAACTGAGAGGAGGAGAAAAGAGAAGAATGGAATTAAACCGGGGATGATATTATTACTAAAGGCCAAGCGGACGCAAAGGAACGGGCGGCAGGGGAAAAATCAAATATAAGCGCGGAGCGTCTGGGACTAGTAGGCGGAAAGGAGGCGAAAGGAAGGTGGAACAGGGAAATACACCAATCGCGGTGATTTCAACAAGGATAATCCAGAGAAATTGGACTGAAGAGGATAGCGAAAGGAGAAGTAAAATAATGGAGAAAAGAAATGGACGAAGTAAACCCAGGGATTCTAAAGGGAGATGCTGGTTCTATCCCGATCCGTGAAAAAGTTGGGGTTTGAAAGGAGGAGAAAGGAAGAAGAAGAGGAGGAGGAGGAGGGGGGGGTGTGGGAATAGATGAGACAAGAGATCGAAAGGGAAAAGAAAAGAGAGAGAAGAGAGAGAGGGTAAAGCGAGCGAGGCTGAAGGGCCGGAGGGAAAGGATTAAGCTCAACAGGTTGTAAGGGGGGGCAGACTTTCAGCGTGAGCGAGTCGGGCAACAGAAAAAAGAGGGGCCAAGATGAGATCCTGAGGCAGTCCCGGGAGCGTGCCAAAAATGAAGAGCAACGAGAGAGAGCGTGTGTGAGGGAACTAACCTGGAGAGCAGACAAAAACCCGGGAAAAGGAGGGATTGATTGGGGGGAAGTCTGAGGAAGAGGGGATGAACTAGAGAGAACGCAGCAGGCTGATACGCCGACTCCATTACTACTACTACTACTTACTTACTTACTTACCGGGTGCCGGTACCTGCTTGCTGCTAGTCTACTAGTAAACTATTCTAGTACCAAGTGAGTATCGGGGGGGTGAAGCCTGAGGAAAGGTTCTTCCTCTTCTTTTTCGCTTTTGATTTTGATTTTCCCCAAATAAAAATTTTATAAACCTTTTTTTTTTTTTTTTTTTTTTTTTTTTTTTTTTTTTTTTTTTTTTTTTTTCCCCCAAAAAAAAATTTTTAAACCTTTTTTTTTTTTTTTTTTTTTTTTTTTCCTTTTTTCTCCTTCTTCTTTCTGCCATTGACCATTCCCGCTTTTTTCTGGAACGATAAGCTGGCCCGGTTCCAACCTATGAGTGACGATGACTGGACCACTTCAATAGGGGCAGTGGAGTCGTCTCGTTTGGTAAATGCAATGGCGACCCAGTCATCGACTGCTGATTGGCTCTGCTGGTAAGGGGTGGCAGTGGAGGAAAAACCAGCACGATCCAATGGCCTTGCGATTCTAATGAGTAGCCTTCCCCTTTTTCGACGACCGGCTCTTCTCTGACTTAGGAGTCTGCTCTGTACGAAGTTTGTTGTGCTCCAAATGGGATTCTTCTCCCGATGGTAAGACCAGCACAGTTCAGAAGAGGCATAGTCTCTTACATTTTAGTCCCGAAAAGCCCATCCCAGACACGAGTACAACTATCTACTAGATACCACACCATCCTCTGCGTCATAGATACTGTCAGTCGGCAGCATAAGACAGGCATGATACAGTGATGAGACAGCAAAGAGGTGTCCAAACCCGGATCCTATATAGAGTTACAAACTACTAAGTTTTCAGGGCTGTCGTTGCCGTAGATATTATGATTAATGATTCAGTTGCATGAATTAATTTCCGGATGACGCAGATCTGCAGTGCGCACCTGTAGGCAATGGCCATGGCGACCGGGATACTATTCGACAGCCAACCCATCAGGCCTTTTTTAACTCTTCAAATCATAATAAGCGCTAACCTCCACTGGTGACGAAATCAATCCTAGATCTCTCTCGTCTCTGCTGCTCATCAGTAACGGGCTAGACTAATCCTGCAGCAGTAATAACGACAACGACAGCAGCAGCAGCAGCAGCAGCAAAACATCGTCCACAGTTCGCAGTAGCCGACCGTTTCTAAACCTGGTCAAGGGTGCAACCTGGAAGGGCGCCTGCAGTTTCAGGTGCCCACCACGCGGTGGAGGTCCGGCACGCTCAGCGCCCGATCGCCAGGTACACCGCGCCATCACACAAAGTTACGCGGTCGGTTGGCTTGTTCCAGAATGTCTTGAGAGTTGAGAGGCTTGAGCTGATAGAGCCAGTGACGCATTTGTGTCTATTCAGAGGCCGAACATTCTGAGGAATCAAACGTGGCGGAATAATCATGCATGTCTGATGTGATGATTATACGGGGTAGAATGCATTCCAGCGGAGGCTACTACTGCAGCTCTAGACTACCATGTGGAAAAGAAAAAAAGGTGGATGACCTCAAGATTGGGATGGACATTAGCGTACGGAGGAATATTGTCGTTCCTGTTCCTACGGCCAGGTACCGTATGGTAAAACTCCACTTGCAACTGCCCGTCGATCGCTTCTCCGCACAAAAAGGGAGAAATTGGATGAGAAGCATGCATTCACAAAGACCCATTCGCTGCTCACCATATCATCTGATACACGCTTGTGGTTTCGTCCAGTGGCGACCTCTTGGTTTTAGTATGCACTTCTTCCATCGCATCATCTCATGCTGTGACAACAACTCCCATGGATGAAGAAGGATTCAGCCACTGCTGCCTCCCACAACCACTGGACATGCACAGGCGGGACGACCCGCCTGAATCGTGCAAGATGAATCTGCTCAGATGTTGCTTGCTGGAATGGAAGTTGGTAACCGAAATTCGTGGTTCTGCAACTTGACTAGAGACCAACTTCTCCACTGTCTAGTCGCCTTTAGTCGCTTGCTTTTACCGCCCACGCTATTATTCATGATGATTGTCGTCTCCTTACCATCACATCACGTCTTTCACCCCTTTGACTAGGGGAAGGGCCTCGTGGCGAGCTGCCTGACATGTCCTCTCCTACCACTCTGGGTTATAGTTACTAATTATGATAATTAACTCCAAGTTATACATACTCTGTAGTTAGTATATCCCCTGGAGGGTCGCGACTGCTTATACTACTTTCAATTGAGAACTCCTGCCGCTGTCGACCGATAACCTAAGAAGGCAGCTCGAAATGGACTAATCCCCATCTTTGCATGGAGCATGGCCAGACTATTGACTTGGTTTCCACTCTTCACTGGCTTGGTGACCTTGGCGTAGACACCTTATTATGTAGACGCTTTTACTGACTCGGTTGTAGATATAGCCTGGGAGAAATGCTGAATACGGTCAGTGCTCAGCAGTAACCGATGGAGGTCATGGTTATGATTTCTGGGTCCAGCTGCAAGAATGCCGAATGGGTAAAGAGATTGGTGGATGATGATGGTCGGCAGGATCCTCAGTAAGCTCGGAAATGGGCTGACAGGCTTCTAAAGTGTCCCAGTCCGTTGTGACTCGTGATGGGGTGGCTGACCGTGCATCCTGTCAATACGAAGGAGGAATTGAGGAAGACCGTGCAGAGTAAGACACTCAACTCCAACCCGATAACTAGATTGTCGCCTACCGCATGAAGTTATCTAAGAATGAACTGAGGAGACCATGGATTTCCAATCCAGCCCAGCCTTTTTCCTGTGCGATTCCGCCCACGATCCCTGGCTGGCTCATCGGCCAATCCGATCGTCGCTCCACTGATCCATCCACGGATCCAATCCCCGATCCATCCATCTCTCAGGGACTGCAACATCCACTCGCGCGATCGGCCTTCCTTCACAGCCTCGCCTTTGCGCTACACTTGTTTTTTTTTTTTTTTTGCGACCGAGGACATCGCATACAGACTATACCCGTACGGATTGACTATCCGTCACAGATACGCCCTCTTGGGATCATAACATCCTCTATCTTCCGCTAGATACCCCTTTTCGTCAAAATGCATGAGCATGAAATGTCCTACATGGGCCCTCGGGGTAAGATCCCTTCCTACCTTCATAGCCACAATCTTTAATTAACTAACAACACCGTTACCGAAGCCTTCAGTCACGATCAGAGCCAAGATGCAGAGGCCGAATACGACCGTCTCCGCAACCTAGCCCGACAAGAAGCTTCAAAGCGCAACTCATGTTTCCAACGGGTACGCCATTGACAACCACTGCCGCAATCACCCAACCGCTCGCCAGAATAAAAAGGAACAAGCAACTAACCAACTTTCAACGGCCAGTCTCAAGAAGCCTACTCCAGCGGCGATGGCGCTAAGGCCAAGGAGCTCTCCGAACAAGGCAAAGCCCACGGTCGCAAGATGGAAGAATACAACAAGCAAGCGTCGGAGTTCATCTTCCGTGAGAACAACGCCAACGGGCGCGTCGCAGCAGACACCATCGATCTGCACGGACAATTCGTCGAAGAGGCAGAGGAGATCCTCGAGGAGAGGATCAAGTATGCGAAAGCGCACGGTCAGGATCATCTCCATGTGTAAGCTTCCTTTTCACGTTACACACTACACAGGCTTCTTTCTTACTCTCGACACAAATCGCTAATCATCCAACTTTCTGCCACTCAATAGGATCGTCGGCAAAGGAAACCACTCGGCCAACCATATCCAGAAAATCAAGCCCCGAGTAGAGCAAGTCTGTCAGGAACTTGGTCTTCAGTACGCGACTGAGGAAAATGCTGGGCGCATTTATGTCAATCTGACTGGTGGACCGGCGGATATGGAGACTGCGCCTACGCCCAATCATCCTCACTATCAGCAATACCCTCAGCAGCAGCAGCAGCAGCATCCATCGGGCACCTATGCTCACCCGCATCAGCAGCAACAGCAGCAATATCCCGGTTCGCAACAGCAGCAGTATTCTGGTTCTCAGCAGCAACAGCAGCAACAACAGGGTGCGGGTAACCAGGATGAGATCGAGCAGGTGGTCAATGCGGTTCTGCCTAAGATCCTTAATAAGCTGGAGAAGGCTTGCTGTGTGGTCATGTGAAGAGAGATTCGCGCTTGGATACATAACAACTTTTGGCAAAAGAGTAACTTTTTTTGCCTATATATGATACGATCTGATGTGTGATTGGTATAGACAGAGAAGGGTGCGTGGGCAGACACGACCGATCATTGGACTTCTCGCGCAATTGGGCATTTGGCGGAAGACTACATATACCCCGGGGCTGTGTATTGGATTCGGTACTACCTAGACGGTGATTAACATGTTCTGGTTTCTTTTTGTTACGGACTAGAAGATAAGAAGCAAAGAAGCAAATCAAAGTTCGTATTAAGAATCGCCATGTTTGAATGTTTCAGATCATAAGACAATCTGATCAATAGGCTAAAAGGTATCACGTTTTAACATCCTGCATAAATACGAGGTCCCATGCAATCCACCAACCAGCCAACCAGGGATGGCGGCGAATAACCTCCGAGCATGGACGCTTGATCATCGTCCGCCGAACTTACTGGGGACCACACTCCCCCAGTGTCGATTCGGTGATCTTGTTGAGGATCGCCCGGACCATGGCGCCGTCCTCACGTCCATCTGCTTGATCACCATCGATCGCTTGGATTAGGGTCAGTGCTTTGGCTCGCAATTCTCGGACCACGTCCCGCGTGTGCGCGAAACTGCCAGTGCTCTCCATGTAACTAACTGCATACAGTTTGACTTCTTCATCTTTCGTCTTTTGCTTGAGAATGCTGAGGAGCTGATGGTTTCCGGGGTTGGAGCGGATACTATGGATGATGGGAAAAGAGAACTTTCCCTCCGTGAGGTCTTCACAGAGACCTTTGTTCTTGGTGTAGGTAGTGTTGGACAGGTTGAGGTAGTCGTCGCAGATTTGGAAAATCAGACCCATGACGTTGACGAGGCTCACGCAATCCTTGCCGGAGCTACTTTCGGCCTGCATTAATTTCACTGCAAGTCGGAACAAACCACCAGTTTTGTTACCGACCATCTCCAGATACTCGTCCTCGCTGGGGCAAGTCAAGGTGTCTCGCCAGAAGAGATCCATTCCTTGACCGCGGTGTAGGTTCAATAACTCTTGAACGTAGATGTCGATCGCAGCGGGGTTGTTCAACTTCTGCACCTCTTGCAGAGCGAGGAAATATACATAATTCGCAGAGTTGATGGTCTGCGCGGTGCCGTATATGTTATGGGCTACTGGGATACCTCGTCGCAAAATGGAGTTATCTTCGACATCATCGATCCTGGCTCATACGCCATAGGTCAGGTAGGTGTCCAGACTAAACCGAGGCATGATGTAGAGAGCTTACAGTAACGATGCAGTATGAAGCATGGCCACCACCTTTGTGATGATTGAAAGGCTCTCCGGAGGTACCTTCAACCACATATTGAAGGCGTTGATAAGCTGCCGCCGTATGTCCTTGCCGGGGTGCTGTAGCATATAGTCGTACGGCCCCATGACAATTCTCTCATTTTCAGGCGACCATTGTCCATCCTTGTATTTGGTTCCATCGACACTGGAGCGATTACGATTGTGCATGCGCGAGTGGTTCGTGTTTGTGGCGAGCCCATCATCGTTTGAGCTTGCGTGATCCATGGCCGGACTCACCAGGAGATCTGGCTTTCCCAGACTAGCTGCGCCTGTGCCGTCAATTGAACTACCTGCGAGAAAATACAATTCGGGGTGAGGAGGACCGCTAGCAGAGATTTCAGGAATGGGTCCTGCAGACATGGTTTGAGTGTTAATCGCTTGCGTGTTTTACGGGGGTGATTGCTGGGTCTCGTCACGAACAGAGAGGGGGAGGTTTTTGGCGAGCGGGCAATGCTGTAACAGCCAGGCAACCGTGAGAGAGGGGAGGAGTGAGCAAGCCCATCTTACAGGTAATCAGGAAGAAGGGCACAACCGCAATAAATAAGGTCCGTGTCCCATAAGAATGAAGGCAAAAGTAACCAACTTGAAAGGGTATATTGCAGGCTGCACAAGGCTCTCTCAAGAGAGCTTCTGCTGCGGGGAAATCGGCCAAATGACGAGGAGCATCACATGCATTGCCATTGCTTTTCCCCTGCTGAGGTCACATGACTCCAATGTCGGCGAAACTGGGAAACTCCGATCCGGTGACAGCTGGGAATGCTCCCTCCCTCACTTCCCCTCTCTTTTACTAAAGTTACACCAAAGCTCCCCCTCCCTGTGTGATTCCCCATGTGACGAGTGTGACGGAATTTTCAATTCTACCGCCTGCAAGGGGTGGTGACGTTTGAGTGGTTGCACCAGCCACGAGCAGTAGTACTTAGTTAAGTACTTAGTTGTCATGGGCACGGTCGGTGGGCCGGTAAAACACCCATTCCATGCTCTGGAGACTGCTTCCGTGTTGGTTCTCATACTGACCGACTTCTTCAAGAAACTCTGGCAACCCAACGGGTGACGGCATTATTCATAACCTTCAGGCCTTTATCTTGGCCAGGGATTGTCTTGGTGGCGTAGCTGAAAAATGGATCCCCTTTCTTGACATCATTAGCTGAAGGCTATCAAGGAGATCCTGTTCTTCATGGCGTCGAACGTAGCACGCCTATTGGAACACGATCGTGCGTCTCCGGGACAACCATCGGGTGTTTGTGTCGGATGTGGGGGAGCTGCAGTCACTAAGGCTGGCCAGTGACCGAGTCTAAATCGGCTCGATCAGCTTCACACGATGACAACAACTATTTCTTCGCTAGTTGATTGAGCCCACCGACTATCGCTCACCAATCATTGTAGCCTTTAATTAAGGCCCCCATTCTCCAAGCGCCTGGGCTCAGCCGTGTTCGATTATTTTTCTGGCTCCTCTCTCTAAGTTAAGGTACTACATATAGATAGCGCCGTATCTCTTGGCCCAGGGTCCTTTGCGACTGACAGATCACGGCCCGTCTTTTTCTTTTTCACCCCCGTTTTCCTTCACCTGCAACCTAGTTCCTTATTTCCCTGTTAATTCTGGAAATAGCCGTGCTACTCATTATCTCTGCCCTTGTATTACTCATGGAGGCTTTGCTGGCACACTCGTTCGACTACCTTTCTTCTTACGAACCAAGCAAAGTTCGCAAAGGGCTGCGACAGGTCGAAGGGCTCCTCGCACAGATTTGTTTATCCAAGACGAAACGCCCGGCGTCTGACAAACGGCGTTCCCTTTTGTCGTTTGGGGCTCCGCAACCGGTGCCCAAGACTTTGGCCGAGCTTCGAGATGATCCGGCCTTCAGGGAATTTTTCAAACTTCAGGAGGGGTTTCAATGGAATGGTAAGTGTCGAGCTATCCGCCGACTCGCGATTATGTGAGTTCCCAACACTAATGCACTGCAACCAGTCGCAATGCGCTTGGTGACATGTCTCGAACACCTGCTTGGGCGGGGGAGCAATGGCACCAATGACCTTCTCATCGTCTCCACACTCGATCTGATACAGGGTGTGCTCCTCCTCCACCCTCCATCGCGCACACTGTTCGCGCGCGAAATCTACATGAACCTACTTCTGGACCTCCTTGATCCAATCAACTGCCCCGCCATCCAGTCTGCGACCCTTCTCACCTTGGTCACGGCTCTATTGGACCACCCCGCCAACACGCGCACTTTCGAGGAACTTGACGGACTGCTTACGGTGACCTCGCTTTTCAAGCAACGTGCGACATCTCGTGAAGTCAAGCTCAAACTCGTCGAATTCCTGTATTTCTACCTGATGCCGGAAACACCGATGATCCCCACTAGCGCAGCGAGTGCGCCCAACACAGCAGTCCTTGGACATCAACGGAGTCCAAGTAAACTTGGTGTTTCCCCGGTCTCCCGGAGTGTTAATGTCCCCGGTGCCCACGGCGGCGGAAAGGCGCATCGGGATACACGTACGACTGACGAGAAGCAAGCATTATTGGGCCGGTATTTGAACAATGTGGAGGATCTGGTCGAGGATTTGAAAGAAACCGCACCCTTTGGAGCAACAGTCTATTAGCGGTGTTACGAGCGTTGAATTTCTTTGTTTATGTTGAGCGTGCATGGATAACGGTATCATGGCTGGGGTTCTTTTTCTCTAATGGTTTTTTCTTGATATCCTCAAGCTCCTTTTTCCTTTGTTCCTTTGTTCCTCTATTTCCTTTGTCTCTTGTTTTCTCTTCAGCCTTTCCCGTCTGGTACGGTCTATGCATCCGGCACAACAGCCTCTATCCTGTTTCTTCCCTCATTTTCTGTCAATGCCTTTCTTATATGACTCATGCATCCGCCTGATGTCTCATGTGTCACGTTGAGACCATGTCTTTATAATCTTATGCGACCCTGAATGAATTGTTATGAATGACAATTGTTTGCTACTGAGTAGTGTGACCCATGCCTGGGGCCAATGCATGTCTTAGATCCGAGCTCCGGCAACTTCTGAGCCAAACTTTCTGAGCCCCATCGCTATGGAAACCACAATCTCTCGTACAACTCTGTGTCTCCCTACATATGTACAGTCAATCATCTACCCACCTACCTGTCTATTCATGACCCCTATCTAGTTACTCCATTCCAACCTTACTCAACAACCAACCCCCATTCTGCAATGTCTGAAAGACCCCCTCAGGGTCATACTTCTTCGCCACCTCCTTCAACCGTCTTACGTTCTCCACACCATAACTCGCCAACGGATCCTGGTCCCACGCCGCATAATTCGAATACTTGTACGGGAGATACACACCCGTCCGTTTTGCCGCAGATTCTGCCGCATCCACGATCTTGCGCACTGCCTCGCGCACCCGTTCCTCATCTTGGATGTTCTTCCAGTCTGCTCGGGCGAGGAACCCTGTACCGCAAGAATAGATGTATTAGCTACCAGGGGGAAACGTAAGACATCTTCCTTGTGGGTATACGTACACTGCTGTCCAACGGGCTCCAGACCTAGAGGACTTCCGCCATTCTTGAGCGATTCCCTCATGGCGAGTGACGACATAGGCTGAATGACGGTCGTCAGGGCGATGCCTTCTATGTCCTTGAGAGCCTCGGCTTGCTTAGCATGAGCTTGTTCGATGGCCTTGTAGACTTCTAAACTAGGGCGGCTGGACATGGTGCGAAATTCATGGCTGTGAGAGTTGTTAGATTGGCACTCTTCAATTGGTAGATTCTTCAAGGATATGACATACACAGTAGGTTCAGCTTCATTCACGGATGCTACGGCCTGGACTAGATCGTAGACGGTGCGGATACCCGGAGGCACGAAGCTAGTGAGATGAGGTATGTCGTAGAAGGCCTGGAAGACGGGGGGATTCTCGACTGGCGCGCAGTAAAAATAAACGATGAGAATGATGTCGTTGGTGGCGTTCCAGATGAGAGATGCCTTGTTGTCGGTTTCAATGGCATCGTGATATTGCATCAGTGCGGCGCGCAGTTGGTCGGCTGCCGTGAGGGGATAGATACGAACTTCGGTCCATATCTGGTTGGGGATGGTGTTCATCTCGATCTTGGTAACGATTCCTGCAAAATGTCGAATTAGAAGTCTGCTGCTAGGTATTACGAAGACCGTATATGCTGGTGTTGCTGGTCATGGAGCATGGTAATGGTAGGTGGTATAGTACCGAAGTTAGGCCCGCCACCCTTCAGGGCCCAGAATAAATCGGGGTTTTCGAGGGCATTGGCATTGATAATTTGCGAGTTGGCGAGGACAACCTGATCAGTGGTGGTTAGATGCTGTATTTATTTGTGGGAATGGAGAGAGGAGATAAATGCTAACTTCGTAGTTGCAGACGCCCATGGCACCCACACCATACTGACTATTCTGGAAGGAGATGCCGCCGCCGAGCAACAAGCCGGAAACCCCCACGGAAGGCACTCTTCCTCCTGCAACCGCCACCCCGTGCTGTTCAAGTCGGCGATATACTTCCAGCCATCTCAATCCGACGCCAATATTTGCCGTGGATTTGTCTTCAGCCACCCGAACTTGGTCAAATGCTCCCAAGGAGATGACCACGCCGTCCTGGTTACTGGTGAAGCCCGGAATCTGCAAATGGCCCCCACCCCGGATGGAGAACTTGACGTGGAAAAAGCGGCACAGCGCCAACGCAGCTGCAACTTGTTGGGCAGTTCCGGGACGGACGATTACCCGAGGTTGAAGCCAGCAATTGGTAGACCTGACCGGATTATGGTGGTTGGTAAAGGCATTCTTTTGGTGGTCGAACCAAAAGTATAGACGTACCAGGGAACTATACGCTGCGGCTCATAGCCATTGGACCCGTGCACGACGGCAGCTGCGCCAAAGAACAGGGGGAAGACGGCGGCAACGTAAGAGGCTCGTTCCTGGTCTTGCTCTGCAGCTGACAGGCTGTCAAATCGCGATAAGAGGGTCTCTATATGCGTGACCTTCTTCTGCTCTAGATGGCAGGCGTTGGCGATGATCTCCGAGACCACCGCAGCCATTGTGTGATCTATGCACGAGCTATAGATGCAGGTAGTTGTCACAAGCCAAATTTTGGGGAAGCAAAAGAAAAAAAAAAGAAAAGAAAGGCAAGGAAGACCGAGAAGAAGGCTTCTGCCCCCAATTCCGTGATCCGGATGGTGGATATCGGCTCGGAACCGACTAGACGCTATCTGCGCCGGCGTCTTGAGCGATCCTGCGACCAGGATTCAGACCCCTGTTAATGTTTGAACAAGCCTCGAATTTGAAGCCTGAGAATCCCAGATCCCTGTTTCATTTGTACGTTAAGAGTATTGGCATCATCGACTTGCATTCCTTCGTGGTCCACAGCACCTCAGACAAAATACTTTAGAAATGATGGCTCTCCCCGCTTCTGCTCTCTCTTCTCTATCCATCCTGATGACCACCTCTGCTTTGGTGCATGAGAGCCGGTTAGGATGGGTGGGTCTATCGAGCAACAGGGCGATGTGCCAACATCGTCCATGACCATCGCGGTGCGGATCATTGTGTTAGTGCTGGCGGTTCCGACAACCTTGGTGTGCATGCTTCGAGTATGTTTCCTCGATACTCCTGCAGGCCATATGGAGTCCATAATGACTGAGCTGTTGTAGCTGTATATGCGCAAGTTCGTTCTGAACAATTTCGGGCTTGATGACTGGTTGGTGCTGGTTGCTCTTGTGAGTTACGCAGCCGGTAATTTTCCCTGCGCCTGATAACTGACTGGCTAGATCGGAGTGGATCTGTTCTCTGCCCTGGCGTATATCATAACGTACTATGGATTGGGTCGGCCTTTGAAATATGTTCCTGAAGATCATCTGGTTGTCTTCCTCACGGTTCGTACCTTCAGGTCCAAAGCTTTTAACCGAACTGATCTTTGCAGCTCGAATATGCCTCACAATGCGCCTACCTAGTCATTGCAGCAACTGTGAAAACGAGCCTGCTCATATTCATAATGCGTCTGTTTCCGACTCGCTTCGTCCACATTGCCGGGAAAGCCCTTCTTGGTATCATCGCGGCCTTCACCCTTTCGGGGACCCTCGCGCTGGTCTTTCAATGTCGCCCCGTCCAAGCGGCCTACGACAAGACTATCACCAATTCGAGCTGCTATCCCACTGAGACCTCGTACGCAATTCTTATGATGCAAGGTGTCATCATGTTCGTGCTAGATGTATCGATCCTAGTACTTCCGATACGGCCTATCTGGCAGTTGCAGATGCCGATAAGGAGACGAATACTTGTTCTGGGGCTACTCTGCATTGGTGAGTTTTTGAAAGAATTCAAAAGTCCGATAACTCATTATTGTGCAGGGTTTACCGCATGTGTTGCTGCCCTCGTGCGTTTCTCGACACTAAAGTTTGCCAATGATACGACCAATTTCACCTGTATGGTTTCCTTCAAGTGGGCAGAAGATAGATTACTGACTGTTCCCAGACTCAGCCTCCACGTCCCTCATTTGGATGGAGATTGAATTCAACCTCGGCCTAATGTCAGGGTCTCTTCCTTCTCTGCGAAAACTTTTCAAGCTTGGCACTCAATTTCCCACGAGCCGCTCAACGAAGACACAGCAAAGTTATGCATCGAACTTCGAGTTGCACCGCCACAGTTGGACTATAGGTGGAATCACAAAGAAGACGGAGATTCAGAGAGACTATGAGAGAAGTGAGAGCCAGGAGTTCATTGCCCCAATATATGGGCAGGGAGAACTGACCACAACTTCCAAAGCGTATGCGGATGGGGAGACAAGCTCTGCCAGTAATGTATGATGCCCGGGTCGTGATGGCTAATGTATGGTATCTGTGTCTCGAGGACGCCAATAGAGCCATCCAAACACAGAGAAGACCCAAGCGGGTTTGCGCATTCAATTTGTGAAGGTTCCATCCTATTACTGCCTCCGTCAATGCCGAGCCGGTCGGTGTGTGAGGGTCAAGCCGACGTAATGCCTGTATGTCCGGAATTGGTCTCCGATACGCGGAAATTGACATTGGCTAGCGTAGAAGCTTACCTCCTTACTAGTACTATTAGTTTACAGGTCCAGCCACTGGAAGGGAGATAGACAAAGACTTGCCAATATGTTTCCTACAGTATTGATATTGCTTGACCGGATCTTGTCCAAATGGGTTGATCAGGGTATAAGGCTGTGACGAATTTCCTTCAAGGCGTAGGCCTGTTCCAGTTCTAGTTGGGTAGCATTGACACATATAAGTTGTTATTGTACAGTAAAATTAGAGGATGCTTTCACAAATCCATCCGTCTAGAAGAACTTGAGGAGTCTGTCACGATGTTGTACAAGGTTCTCGTGTTGGCGCAGCAATTGTCCCAGCCGGTTCCGTCGCCACCCTAGCTTCTCCTCCAAGATCAGGTGTGTGTATGCGAAAACACTAGCATCGAACAGACCCGGATTCGGTCGGTCAAAGAAGTGCAGGTTATCGCCCAGTAACGTGGACAGTGCCTCGAATGCGTCGTTAGCTTCGGCCTCCAAGGCACCCACATCGATATAAGATGACGTTTTTAGGATCTCTGTCCGGGCAGCTTGCTGGAGCTGCAGCGCGAGAGCGGTCCGCACGGCGGAATTCGTACTAGATGGGTCCACGTATAAAGGTCGAGCAACGGCCTCGAAATCCTCGGGATCCAGGTATAGGGTATATAGCTGCCCCGGCGCCAATTAAGTCAGTCAAAACTCATCCATCGACAATGGATTCCGGGGGGTTGGGGGACCGCAACGCACCCAAGCATTTCGTATCCGGTGATCCAGCAACGACGCATATACCTCGAAGCGCAGATCCAACTGCTGCTCCTCTTCGCAGTGAACTTGCTCGATGGCCCATTTTTGGAGCTTGCTGGAAGGAATAGGGGCGTTGTTGTTGATGGGGTGGGCGGGGATTAGGAAAGGAAGGGCGCCAGAGGGAGATGCATGGTTGTTGGAAGGAATCACGTCGACGTCGATCCCAACGAATCTTAAGTATGCCTGGAGAGACACGCAGAGGGGTATCAAGTTAGTGATAAACTTTAGAACTAGCGCAATGCTGCATTTCCTAGTACGTACCTGCCACTTGAGACACTGCGGGTTGAACGACGGTCTGCCATGTCTGGCACCTGCGGCATCGGTGAAAACATACAGTCGATTGCCACGTTTGTCGGACCATGCGCTGTGCGGGAGATCATTGGAGGGGTAGGTGACGAGGGGAAAACGGTCGAAGATGCGCTTGATTGGCGCAGGAACGGAGAAGAAGTCTCGAGCGCGCGACACCGTGCTCACATTGTCCGGTGCCTGGCCGGGGACATCACGGTGTTCGGGGGTCATTGGATGATGGGATGGAGGGAGGGAGGGGATTGCGCAACGGGGCGGATAAAGAGGGCGGGCAGAGCTGAGATGTCAGTTTGATAAAGCTGGGGAATTGGCGACAAGGCCAGCTAGAAGACCCGAGGTCGATGTAGGTTTGTTTAATGAACAGAGGGGACAGATCCGTTTCTCGCCCAACTATTTACTTAGTTAAGTTCAGTTGATCTTGTTATTCGCCGGCTGATAATCTCCGGCCGCCAAGCCCGCACCCATTTTGTATGCCTTAGGCAGAGGCAAGGATGATGCTGCCTGAGGTTGCCAATGGGCTGCCACGCGTTGGATTTGAATTACTCTTATCGGCTTATCGTTAAGTTTTGCTCCGCCGTTCGGACGGCAACGGAGACCTCCACCATCTTTCTCTCTTTCTCGGCTTGACCACCCACGGCATTCTCTCAGCAATACTTATTATTCAACTTCCTGCGGGGTTGTAATTACATACTGCAGCATTCTTCCTCATCCCGAGCTGCAATCTCCTCGGCCTCGCCGGGTTGTCGTTCGTCTCTTCCCCGCCTCTGGAATCCATCCCACCGGGTAACCTTTGCGCTCGTTCGAATCCGTCGCTTGTCCAACCCCGTTCCAGCCTCTCTTTGTCATTCCACTTGTGGTACATCCTGGTCCGCCTTCGCTTCGAGGGGAACAATAACTTGTTTTCTCGGTAGACGTGCACCGCAATTACCTGTCTCTAACACACTGCTTATTTCTTTTCTTTTCTTCTCTTGTGATCAACTGAGTTCTTACGAAAGCCTGCTTGCGGCCGTGGTACGATCAGACCTACGGGCGGGGTAAGGCCATTCGCACACTTATATCTCACCTGAAAGCTCAGGCCCTCCCGTGGATTCACTATTCAGCATACTCTCGGCTGATGCTGTTCTGGGCTCGTTATCATGCCTCTCGATGAAGAAGGGGCCAAGTGGTCATGGTATGACTCTCCGCCGGTGAATAGGCTCTCTGCTAATCAGATGCGCTTCCACTTAGTGAGCCATGTATCCGTGGCCATCGGTCCTCGAAATGCCAGCACTTCGACAGGATGATGATGAAGGTCCCAAAGGCCGGACGACCGCTTGCTAGATGCCCTCATCCGAAGGGAACTTGCAGCTGCCAGAAGCTATATGCGTTCATGATTCGCATTCCTAAAGGTGGGTATATGCGACGGATATAACCTATCGTCTATCCTACCGTGTCATAGTCGCGTCTTTGGTCACTGACTTTGACTGTGTCATGTAGGCTCGACTTGCTTGTGTAGACCAGTGTACCAAGTGCCTGCCGATGCGGCGGAATCTGCTTCAACCACTCCCATTTCTGCTCCTCCGATGCCGATTGCTGCTCCCAACAAAATCCAGAAACCCATCAAACGACAGATCAAGACTGCTCCAGAGAACCTTACCAAAGCCTTGAACTCCATACCAGAATTCGGAAGCCAGCAATTGGAACATGGAAATCTGGGCCGACCATCTCCTTATCCGGCTCAGGAACAGCGTTTGTCCAGTTCATATGAAGTCATCAAGCAAGAACCAAACCCTTCGCACAAGACCTTCGAGTGCACCAGCGAAGATAAGGCGCCGCAGGGCGGCAGCTGTTGCTCTCGCAAGTCTCAGCCCTCACAGACTATAATTCCGGATGTTCCAGCTCCTGCAGTCCAACGTTCCTGTTGTAGGAAGTCCGATTCGGCGGCACAAGATGTCGAGAAGGAGGACAGCACTCCCAGCGGTTATGATCACTTCCAACCTCCAGCCTTCGACAGTGATAATGCAAGATACACACCGAGCTCTATTCCCCAGGTTTCGACGTGGCAAGATTTCCAAGCAGCGAAGCAGAGCCAGTACATGCAGCCTTTCGCATTGCCCGTATCCGAGTCTGGTTATCTCCCAATGGCTGGACCTGCCGCAGGTTTTAATTCTAAACCACTAGACTTTCAGCATCCGCATGCGTTCAACAACTATGAGATCTTCAACAATCAGATCTCTCAGCCGACGTCGGAGAATGCTATTGCAAATGCAGCAAATCCTGCTGGCGAAGCCTCCCATGATTGTAGCTGTGGCGATGGTTGTCAATGTCTTGGTTGCGCGTCTCACCCCTTCAACAACACTACTAGACAGCATGTCCAACAGATGGGCCTCCTGGTGGCCCTCCGTGATGATGAACAGAGCCCCGACAGGCTGAACAGCCATAGAGGCTCTCCTTTGCAGACTCAACCCCCGGACTTCTCATCATTACAGTATTCCTTCGCCAACTTCGGTAATCCTCTGGGCGACAACTTTCACCACGTCGCAATGCACCCATATGCCCAACAGAGTACGGACTCGGGTCACGTAAACAATGGCTATTCATCTCCGCCTGCGGATTATCTAGGACAGCAACTGATGGTACCGTCAGAGTACTATACTCTCGAGTACCCAGTGGGGCTACCTAGCGCTTGCTCCGATACAACTGGAAGCTGCCAATGCGGAAGTGACTGTACTTGTGTTGGCTGTCTTACCCACAGTGGACACAACGGACTGCCTCTTGAGCCCGCCATGCCTGAGGGCAACTGGGACCACATGAACCTTCCAGGTTTCTCCATGGACGCTACAGGTCACAGCACGTCACAGATGCCCGTGATGGATAACTTTGTCGCTCATTCGAACTCTATGCTGTAGTACCCCACCTTTTATTCGCATTGGGATGCAATGCGACTCCGCCATCTTTCCACCCTTATGCCCTTCCCTTGCTTTTCCTGCGATCAAGTTCTCACTCGGATGACCGATGCTTGTTCATGATACCCCTTGCTCATAGATGTTGGATGATAGAGGATACAAAAGTCTTTCCGTCCTCTCTATTGTTGTATATATTCCTCAGCCATTACCTAGGTTTGTCTAGAGTCGCAAACGCACGGACCAATCTCCTCCCCAAGCTCTATGAGCCCTTATTTCTCTATTATTTCCATTCGTTCTATACTGATTGGCAAGATATCGGTAGAGTTATCGCAAGAGAGACTCTGGTCTAGACCGAATGCAGTAACCTGGAGAGAACTAAGCCCAGATGCTGTATAATGTGGTCGCATGAAGGGCCTAGATGCTAATGAATAGCTACTATCAAAGCGGCATTACAGATGCCTTAAAACAGTTAGAAGTGGTAGCACAACGATGAATTGAATGCTAAAGTAGGAAAAAGTCTAAAGAGACCATTTCAAACACGACGAAAGATGTTCTTGATGCAGCTCGTTTTCCTTCCCAGCTATACAGGTATCATACAGAAATGGAGGCCCGAGCTACTCTACCTACGCAGGGCATCTCTGACCGGAGAGTCGCCCCGACGGAAGGAGGCTGTAGAAAGTTAGCTTAAACAGTTCCCTCCGGTATTGGAAGAGAAGGGGTTGAATGCAATTGCATGAACGTACAATCAGCTTCCTCCCAAGCACGTCCGGCACCGAAGCCGAGACCAACCCACGCGGGCCAAGCTCTCCGCTTGAAGAGGAGCACGGAGAAGACAACACCGAAGGAGAGACCGAGGGAAGAGCGGATGATGAGGGAGGAGATGGCGCGATCCCACTGTGCATTGAGAACTTCCGTATTAGCCCGAGCACTACTGACTACACTTCCCGATGACATATGTGCGTCTGTCCCGCAGTTGCAATTTGCGGATGGGGTTCTTCAAGGGCGGAGAGGCCCGGCGGCTCCATGGCAGGCCCAGCCAACAGAACATTCAACATCCAGACGGAACAAAGTGATCGATGGAAACTTCAGATGGTGGTGCAAAGTACCTTTTCGTTCAGCAGGGCCTCGCTGACGGGCTTGGTGGAGCGTGGGACCGGTGCGACCGGCTGGGATTCGTTGGAGTCGGCCATGGCGATAAGAGCTGAAAGTCCGAGAGTTAATTCAAAAAAGACCCAAATGAGGAGTCAATTGGATCGACAGGGACCTGACTGACCTTCGGCAACAAACTACAGAAGGGAGGGTTAACTGGTTGCAAGCAAAGGAATGAGAAGCAAGAAAGAGAAGGAGAGTCGATGGGCGGACAAACTGATCGGGTGCGACGTTTCGAGCTCTGCCGGGCTAAAAGGCGGTCGGAAAAACTAGGCAAAGCGCTCTCCGCTTTCTGGCGTCAGTCTTCAACTTTTTCGACTTTAAGGAATCCCTCCTTGGTCCCCGCAGACCAAAAAAAAAATTAACGTCTAGGACGAACCACTTCCCTCGGACTATGTTCGATTTGTGCTGACGCGGTGGCATCGAGGATCTTGGGGAAACCGGTACTTTACGATCTGACTCGTCTCATCCGAGATGCCTTCAGTCGCGGAGGTATGTGTTGGCTCGATATCTTTCAAGCGTTTTCGGTTGTATGCAACTTTGAGTGTTCGGCTAACCTGCTGGGATTATTTCTCTCTATACAGCGCCCGCGCTCCTCACAGGAAGCTTTACTCTGCCTCGAAAAAGGCACCGCGTCTCCGACCACACAGCTTGACGAAGCCGCTCAGATCATCGGCCTGGATCTTGCCCTATGTGCGAGTCACCCTGAAATCAACCGAACCCCTCATGTTCAGAATAACGCCGCGCCGAAGGAGGAATGGGTGCTCCGATGGTTACTGAAAAAATTGCGGGCGGGCAAGAACTATCGCGTCGACTCTACCTCTTTTCTCCTACTCCGACAGTTGATCGACCTAATCCCGCCAAAGACCCTGGCTACGACTCTGAAGGACCAAAAATTCCTCGCTATTTTCAATCAAGCTATTGCCGACCTGGAGGAGGATGTATTCGCAGCGCTGAAGACGGGAACGACTGATTTACTGCCCTCCGATTCGGATTCAAGTCATACCTTGAGCGATTCTCCGCACCGCAATGGCGATTACGATAAGAAGGGAACGAAGAGAAAAAGGGCCGGCGATGATGAGGCAGACACTATGGATGTTGATGACCAGCCGCGCACGCCGATTTCGTGTTTCTTGGCTTTTATTCGCGCACTGGATTGCCTGTATAGCTTGATCATGCTGGCGAATCGGACTCTTGGGGTAGATGAGGTCGCTAGCTCCCATTTGAAGCACGCTTTGAAGGGTGAGCCAGAGCCAAACGCGGTGACGCTGCAAAAGTCTTTCCGACTGGCTGCCGTGATTTCGACGCAATTTTCCCATGCGCGCAAGACGACGGACTTACAGCACCTCCTATACGTGTTTCCTGCGGTCTTGGAGCTGTGGGAACTGAGGTCCTCTCGCCGTGATGACTCAGATAAGGGACTGAGTAATGAGTGCTTTGCGAAACATTGTTTCCAGAGCGCACTCAGACTTCAGGTCTCTGTTCGATCGATCCGACTTGACACCGATGAGAGGGCTCACGTACTGCATGGGGTGGAGCGCTTGATCGCTCTGCATGTGGTCATACCGACACGCGGTGGATTCTACGAGCGAGGAGGTGCAGGTATCGACTATTCAGCTAGTGAACCGGATTGGACTCCGGTTAAACCTATCTCTGATACACTTAGACCTATCCTCTGCAAACCAGAATGCCCGGCAGAGACTGCAGATGAGACCACTGTACAGAAGAAAATCATGTGGAAGACAGCAGAATTGCTCCCGGAGTTTTTCGATATCGCGGTTCGTTCTGTGCCAAGGGACACTTTCCGGAGACAGACACACGAGGCGCCGTGGCTGGAGACTCTGTTTGTTGCTATTGCAGAGCTGGCATTCTCAATTGTTAAGTCTGAGAATACAACCACCTACCTTCCCGAGTTCGTCGGCATTTTGGAGCGTCTCTTCCGTGTGGTTCTTGTCCGTAACGTGCAGTTGTCTCTACATACGTTGCTCACCCACGCTTCCTACACCGGGCTCCTCAAGGATGGCTTGTCGCAGATCGAATGGAATCTTACATCGCTGCTTGTTGAGCTCGGTGTTGATATCTTCCTCCCTAATTCTGGTCTCAGTGACTCGACAAAATTGCTGAAGGCTCTGCTGGGGAAGATCTTCTTGCATTGGCGCAGCGGTACGCCCCAAAGTGACGGCAGCTATGACACCATTAAAAACGGCATTGTTATACCTCTGCTACGTGGTTTCGTGGCCGCTCGAGATTTGCCCACCTTCATGGAGTATTGGTACGAGCAGCTCATCGAGGTTGAAGAGGCACGGTCGCAAAACAAAAATCTGGAGTCCTTTATTGTTTGGGAGGATGATGACGTGTGCAATGCATATGGCGATGTAATGCGAAGTCCCCTCACTCACACATTTGCGGCTGCGCAACTCAAGGCAGCTGCGGTGGAAATTAGGAGCGAGGATGGGAAGATTGCCGACGCGCCCGGAGCCTACGCCCAGTTCGTGATCTTAGAGTCTGGCTTCAGATACCGTGATTTGAGCTTCGCGGATAAGAACGAATCTCTTAGCTCTGTCATCCAGACCGCGGCATCAACGTTGTCGTCAAAGCAAAAGCTGCATTGGCGATGGCGGCTGTGGCGACTCGCTCGAAACCTCTTAGAGAATAATGTCCAATCCACCGACAATGATCTCGGGGTTGCGATTATGAATCTGGTCGAGACAGGTGCAGCGACCATTCGGCGTCACCATAAGGACCGGCTGCAGAAACCTTGGTCACCCTTGGAATGTTTCGAGGCGTATCAATTTACCCTTGCCGCCGTCAAGGGGTCTTTGAACAATGATCAGTTCAAATCACTTACCAGCCAAATAACAGAGCTGGTCAAGTCAATCTCCGACAAAGATGCTTCGGACGCAATTGTCTCACCCTGGAACGGGCGTATCGAGACTCTGAATAGGCCGGATACTCTTGCCCTGGCGTATTTCCTGACACTTGTCAGGAGTCCGGACGTCTGGGATCGGGTTGAGCCTGAAACTAGACGCTCTTTGTTTGGCCATATCCTTTCTTTGGCAACATCTCAGTACAAGTCTTCACCATCGGCTTTGGAGACTGTTAGCCCTGAACTCAGATACCTTCAGGCCTGGGCTGGCGTTGTCTGCCATGAGTATTTGCTCAACGCTCCGGCCATCGCGTCTGATCTGATCTCCGTGCTCTCGAGCCGGGTCAAGGAGGACATCACGAACCGCAAACTCTATGTTGAGAGCTTGCAGAGGATTCCTGCCCCGCTTGTCGTGCGCCGGCAGAGAGCGATTTTGCTGGATCTCTTGCAGGAGGTTATTGTCCAGGAAGACAGCACGCCCGAAGTCACTGTTGGAATGCTGTCATTGATGGCCAAGCTGGCCGATATGCCTAAATCTGCCGCAGCCGTCACCAGCAATTGGGAACCGGTCTGGACGATTGCGAAGGCAGTCACCTTGCAGGGAAGCGAGGTTGATCTTCAAATCATGAAGGCCTTCCGCAATCTGCACAGAGCAGTCATAGCTAAGCTGCTTGTTCTGTCCGACGAAGAGCGTCACAAGCTTTTCAAGAAGATGTACCGCAAGGTCTCATCTAAGGCATCGAAATTACAGACTCTTGACCGTGACTCCATGGACTGCTTCTATCTTAGGATCTCTCTGTCTCAGCTGTGGCACCACCGTAAGCAGCTGGAAAATGTCTTCGAAGAGACGGATCTTGCTGCTTGCCGCCAGAAGGTTTTCGACCTGGTGGTTGCGGAAGTTAAGTCTGTCAAGGATCAGTGCAAGAAACAGCAGCTGGAAGAGACGATCACCCTGATCAAGATCATTGATGCGCTGGAAGACTTTGAGGATCTTGCCACGGACCATGCCGAGGTCGAAAAGTTCCTGTCAAAAATCGAAAGCTACGTGGAGAAGTCGGTTGATTCGGGCTCCTCACTGAGAAGACTCATAAGACGTCGAGTCCTGGCCGGTCGCGGCTCTGAAAAGAGTATTACACAACCTGTGATTCAATGTGCCGAGGCCCTCCCGCTGCAGCACATGTACAGCGAGGAACAGCGGCTCTTCATCCGGTCCACCTCTGGAAGGTTTCAGTCCATGTCCGTGGAAGAGCTGACTCGAGTCATCCAAGACGTGCGGCAGTTAGGCTTTGTTGGCGAGAATGCGGAGTACCATCTGCTCATTGCCGGGTTGGCTATTGCCTCGTTGCCTCCAATCGAGGACAAAGAGAGCCTCACGGCCCAAGAACTATCGTTGGTTTGCACCGCAGTGACCGAATCTCTACCCCGCAACAAATCCATCGAGCAGTTTACACTTGCGACCGAATGCCTCGACATTCTCCTCCGAAATTACACTCGCTGTATCACGCAATGGAACGTCGATAACATTCTGGGAACTATTGCAGTGTGCGCTTCTAAATCAGGACCTTGCATCGACCCCGAATTCGCAGGAACCGTCTATATCCGCCTGTGTCGCCTGATGGGTGTCCTCTTGGGTATCCACCGTCAGAAGCTTGGAGGCCGATTCCACCTCATTCTGCCTGTTGTCGAACGACTGCTGGACTGTTTGTTCGCTCGTTCCAAGAAACGCAGTCGATCCATGCTTCATGAAAAGAAACTCGGCCAACAACCATACTGGCTTGCTCCTTTGCAAGCCTCGCACGCAGTTCACTTCACCCGTCTCCTCACGTCATTGTGCGACCCAACCGTATCCGCAGTCTCGAGACCGACACAGTCCGCAGGTGGTTATGAAGGGTTGACCGATCAGACCAAGAAAGCCAAGCGGATCGCAGGACAGTACCTCCAGTACCTGATAATGGAGTATACGCAGAGTTCCCTGCGCGGCACACTCGCTCCCGAAGTGAAGGCCGCAATTGTCCCTGGTCTCTACGCAGTCTTGGATGTGATGTCGCGCGAGACGATGCGTGCCATGAACGCAGGACTGGACGTGTCTGGCCGGGCGGTGTTCAAGGCGCTGTACGATGATTATGTGAAGTTTGGTAAGTGGAATAAGGGCTAGACGATTGCATAAATTCGGTGGTTGGCATGGCGGGATGTAGATTGCATATAGACATTTCTTCTGTACTTAGTTCAACGGGTGCTGTGCTTTGCGCGCACCACGAAATCCATAATCATTTCGAACATATGATTTGCTCCTAATATGCCCTAGACTTGAGTGTACCTCTGCTAGTCGCTTTACCTACCTGCCTCTCAAACTCTACTACTACTCACGTACAAAAGTACAATGAATGCCTTGTTTTCTTGCTTGAGACTTCAGACCCCCCGCATAAGAAAAAGATGAGAAGCAATGGTAATAAGCAAGAAGAATATGTTAGGTTTTCCAGGATCCAGTTCCAAATTCTCGCACACCACTCCCCCTTCCCATACTACCCTTTACCCCCTCCAAGAGGCTCGGGATGACGTGTATGGCACCGTCCTGAGCCACGTTTTCAGTGATCTGATCGCCAATTTTGACTTCTCGGGAACTGGGATCTGAGTTTGTCGGGGCGAGATAAAGGTAGGGAAGGGGGAATGTTGGTTGTTGGTTAAGGGAGAAAGTGTAAATTGTTTGCTGGTAGTTTTGGTAAGCAGTCATGTAGTAAGTATGAGCGAAATGATGAGGGAGAGGCGTTCTAGACAATCTGTGTGAGGTATATTTTGAGGGATTTCAATGAATGCTGTATTTTCTTATTTTCTTACTTCTCTTTTCTTTTTTTAAGGTTAGTTGTGTTGGGTAGGACTGGATATGTGAGAGTCTCTTTGCGTGTGTAAAAGGTGGTGCAGGAGGGGTTGCAGATGACGGGGAAGGGGTTTATAGTTAGTAGTTTTCGGGGGAACTGTGGATGGATTCTGGTGGCGGTAGTGGTGTGGTAGTATGATGTCGTAGTCAGGGTAGACTGCTAGTAGAGTATGCGAACGGGATTAAAGGTGGCTGTCGAACTACTATTAGTTAAGTGCCTCCGGTAGTTGGTTTAGTTGGTCAATCAATCAGGAATGATTAATTAGCATTACAGACAGTAGTAAGTAGTTCACTAAGTTTTGTTATTAATTTCGATCGCTAGATAGCAATCCAAACTGCATGCACAATCAGGTGATCCCCACCTGACTAGACTATACACGTGCTTCCTCCCCTTTCTGGATTTGGATTCGCAAAGAGAACCTCGGGTTCGACTTGCGGGAGAGGAACCGGTTATCAGCCGACGATGGGGACGGATGAAAAAGAAGGAAAAAGTAAAACAGGAACATCAGCATCTGCTGATGGTTCCAAATCAATCCTTTTAGTTACTCGATGGCATCGAGTCAGCCGGGCTGGTGATTAGATAGGCCCTAGCCACTAAGTGGACCCGTGAACGGCTGTGAGTCGCTGATTGAACTGGGGCACCCCCGGGCTCGGACTGATTGCGGAGGACCAGTGGAGATGCAGAACAGCAGACAAGTCCCGATATCTTCCCTTGAACAACTGATAACGTTGACGCTTACTCGACCCGATCGAGCAATGGAAAATGATTATCGTCCTTCCTTTGTGGTCGGCTCTCCTGGTACGTCCGACAAACGGCCCATGGAGGGCGATAAGCTCGCTTCACATGGGTGGCGCTGTCCAGGTCGATCCCGGCCCTCTTTTGACCAATTTTCTTATCTTTATCTCGTGTCAAATAAGGCAAAGAAAATTAAGAACAGAATTAAGACATGGGTGAATGAATGAATAACTCAACCCCGGGTGTCATGCTGGCGTATCCAGCCATTATCAGCCCAGAATCCATGATGGAACCCGCTCCATATCTGTTCCAGCACCCACCTTGATTGGCCCATCGCTGGGCGATGACGCCGATAGTAGTAGTACCTTCCGGTTCTTCTATGGTATACGCCCAGACAGACAAAAAGTGTTTATATCTCTTCGTTCACCCCCCTGGATTGTCGTGCCTGGACTGGTGAAAGAAATTATTACCTTTTTTTCCTTATCTTCTGTTCCTCCGTGGCTTCTGTTACGAGCATATAACCCTGGTGGTTCTGCTCCCATCAGCCCTAAAAGAATATTCTCCTCCTCCTCCTCCTCCTCCCCCACCCCAAACCCCAACAAATCGACCTACTACACCATACTTAACTATCGATATCTCCCGGTACATACTGTCGCTGTGTTATTCGAACTCTCGACGTTTGTCAACATACCACATAGGCCAGGGATGCCTCGAATCAAAGAATGGATCGAAAAGCTCGAGGTGCCTACGGAGCCCGGGTTGACCAATACTCAATTGATGTTGACGAACCGTGACTTGCGGCCAGGTGAGATCATGAAACTGGCTGGCGGATCACCTTGAGACGCTCCGTGCTTGTGCAGCCGGATTCAATAAGAGGACACTGGAAGCTGACCGTGTGCAAATTTGATTTCCGCCGACTGCAGTTGAACACGAGCGTCGTCAATGGAGATGGTACAACTTCATCGCCTTTTGGATTGCAGACTCTTTGAATATTGTAAGTGTCTCGTGCTGCTGTGGTATCCAATTGAATCATCTTCATGCATTATCCACTGAACTAACACATCATCTCGCACATAACAGAACACATGGATGATTTCATCTTCGATGATTGTCGACGGTCTGTCCTGGTGGCAGGCATGGATTTGCGTCTGGGTCGGTTATTTCATTGCTGCTTGTTTTGTCTGCTTGACCGGTCGCATCGGTGCAGTCTATCACATCTCGTTCCCGGTCGCATGCCGGGCCAGCTTTGGAATATGGGGTTCTTTCTGGCCCGTCTTCAACCGGGCGGCAATGGCTGTCGTTTGGTATGGTGTTCAGGGTTATATTGGAGGTGAGCCTTTCCACGAGAGTTCACAGTACAACGGTTCCCTTCCGGATGAGCGAAGCTAACCCCGAGTACTAGGCGAGTGCGTAACCTTGATGATTGAGGCTATCTGGCCAAGTTATAGAAATATCCCCAATCATATCCCCGCAAGCTCCGGCGTCACCACCAAGGACTTCCTGAGCTTCTTCCTGTTCTGGCTCCTGTCACTGCCAGCTCTCTGGTTTCCGGTCCATAAGATCAGACATCTCTTTACCGTGAAAGCCATCTACTCTCCCATCGCCGCCATCGCCTTCTTTGCCTGGGCCATCTCCCGCGCCAACGGAATTGGTCCCATCGTGCACCAACCTGCTACAGCTCACGGAAGCACCTTGGCCTGGGCAATAGTCAAGTCTATCATGAGCTGTCTCGGCAACTTTGCTACGCTGATTGTGAATGACCCGGATTTCTCGAGGTTCTCTCGGTCGCCGAAAGACGCGCTGTGGTCCCAGCTGCTCACCATCCCGATCGGGTTCGGCATCACCTCCTTCATCGGCATCATCGTCTCATCTTCTTCAGCTGTTATCTTCGGCGGTGACTTTGTGTGGAACCCGTTGACGCTTCTGGGTCAGTTTCTGGATGGCGCCAGCTCCGCCGAGCGCTTCGGTATCTTCATCATCTCGACTGGCTTTGCTCTGGCCCAGCTGGGCACCAACATTTCTGCCAACTCGGTCTCTGCCGGTACCGATATGACGGCCTTGCTGCCTCGATACCTCAACATCCGCCGGGGTAGTTATATCTGCGCCGCGATCGGCCTGTGCATGTGTCCAGTACGATTATTCTCTCTATCATAGTCTGTGTGGCAGGAGAAAAGCTAATAGACTCTTAGTGGAAACTCTCGTCTTCATCCAATTCATTCACAACTTACCTCTCAGCCTACTCCATCTTCCTCTCTTCTATCGCCGGGCCTATGATCTCCGACTACTACTTTGTTCGGAAAGGATATCTGCGAGTGAAAGATCTGTACAGTGTTGGAAATGACTCAGCATACCGCTACACGTACGGCTTCTCCTGGCACGCATACGCTTCGTATCTTGCAGGCATTCTCGTCAATATCGTCGGGTTTGCCGGCGCAGTTGGGCGTACCGTGCCTGTGGGAGCCCAATACATCTACAACATCAACTACTTTTCCGGTTTTGTTGTCTCATGTGTGATGTATTACGCATTGGCCCGACTGTTCCCCCTTTCCGCCACCAGCAGTACGTGGCATGAAGCGGATATCGACGTTGATGAAGACCGTCTGTCCGTAGCGGATGGGCAGGAGGTGTATCCGGAGGATGAGCATCCGACAGGCAAGCCGCTGGACGTCGAAGCTCCTGTTGATCAGAAGCACCCGAAGTCCACCGCTTCATCGGTGCTATGAACGAGACATGACTTTTTCTTTCTTTACTTGTTGATATTGTATTCTAATGACGGAACGCTTACTTTTCCACGGGAAGGTACATATTGATCCAGTGCCATGAACGACCAGAGATCCATACTTAGCAAGGAGTATTCCATCTCATAAGTAGAAGAGTATAGCTATCCCAATCAGGTAGGTGGGGAACGATAGTGCAGATGCGATTCCCCCACTTGGTGGTCCGTTCCGATCGGTCTTTCCCGTTTCGGAAGTCATTGCTCTGCGACGTTCTTGAGGATGAAGCGTGTCCTTCATCACTATCTCATATACAACACTCTCCTTTGACAGATATACCGCGCTGCTCGCTCTGTGGCTGCCAGTGTATACACTGATGAGGTTGGTACTTTACTGTCGAGAGACGGTTATATACTATCGCACATAATTTTACTAGGAGGGATTTGGGACCCACGCTATACAGTCACCCTTGCTCTAACTGTCGGGAAAGTCTGTCCTAGGTACGCTCTCAGTCAATTACTCAAATCTGTGGCTGAGCATTACATATGGGTGTAGTATTGGCATGTGCCGACTTATGATTCTCCTAGTGCTCTACGGTCTAGGATCAGGTATATATTTACGTCGCTTGGGGAGGGAGGTGAAGCCATTGTACTAGGGGGTAGGTCCAGCTCTTGCACCCCCGTCGCATTCTCTTCTCTGTCCCGTCCTCGTTTTTTGTGTTGCATTCATGTTTACCACTAGCTGTTCGCCATTTCTCTTTTTCTTCTGCTTATCCTCTCTACTCTTTTCAAATCGGGGATAGTTCAATGCTAATCGGGCAGTCAACTCATAAGAAGACTTAGTGCAACGGAATGTTCAGCCCAGGCAACATTGCTGGCTTGATCGGCCTGCAATAGAAGTTTTCGAATATCGCTTGCCAGTAAAGATCTGAATACTGAGCGGAATACATGCATAGAATGGTATGATGCGGATACAATTACAATTACTCGGGCTAGGCCTGCTAGTCGATAGATCACGGATCCTTGACGGAGAAAATGAAAGTAGCAAACCCAAGTGCTACCTGTGGCTCACAGAAAGAAAGATTATTCAAGAAATGATGGCCTTACGCGCGTATCGAACAGCTTACAGTATGTGAGCAATATGATGACACTGTACGCCTCCTGAGTGTCGCCTGTCAGTGTTCCCCAGACTTGCCCATACTGGTTAGCGGATCGACAAGCTGACCTGCAGTGCCTGGAGCCCAGGCCCAACTTGTAGAGAGTGAGCGATTCAACACCAGAGTCTTGTTGTCGTCACCAGCCAGACTGATATTATTGATGTTTATGCTAGCGTCGACTGCACTGCGGGCTCTAGGGTGCATCGCACCGATCGCGTGACGTGGCGGGGTCTCTAGCTCTTCTGGTCTTGCCTTACTTGTCTTCTACTCCTATCTACCCGGTGTCTGCTGCTCAGTGAAATCCACACTATCGCCAAACAATCATCGTGTCGCTGGTTCAAACCAGGACGGTCATGATACCCCACAATGGCCTCACTGGTTGTCATTATAGCCCAACTTACAGTGCTCACTCTCGTTAGTCGGATAGTTTACTTATGCTACTTCCATCCTCTGGCACCCTACCCAGGCCCATTTTGGGCCCGCTTCACGAACCTCTGGTACGTGTTCACCCAGTCATTTCCTTTGCGTATTACGGGAGTCTTTGAGCTGACTAGTTGTGAGTAAAAGGCGGTTCTTCACGTTCATGAGCGGCCAACTCCATCTTGCGGAACAGCAACTTCATCAGAAATATGGCCCTGTTGTTCGAGTTGCCCCGAACTGGCTCTCTTTCTCGAGTTTGGAAGGCTTTGAAGCTATCTATGGATTCAACAAGTCCGTCGAAAAGGGTGATTTCTATTCATTTGGACGAAGTCCCAGCCAGCGTGAGGCGAGTATTTTCTCAACAAAGTCGGATAATATTCACCGCCAGAAAAAAAGGAAGGTCTTAGGACCGGCTCTCTCGAGTTCAAAGGTAGGAAGGTATGAGCCTGTTATTGAAGAACATGTAGCCGTCCTATTGGCGCGACTGGAGGCGTCCCGACACCCGACAGGAGAAGGAATTTCAACTGCAAATGTGGCTCCATTGGTAACTCGGTTCACCTTGGACACAATGCTGGAAATTCTGTTTGGCTCGGCTATAGCATCAAACCCATATACTGATAGTGCTGCCGCCGGTGCCATATGCTCGCAGCTTCGCAAGATAACCAAGACAGCATGGAGTTACTCTCTTTGGCCAATGTACGGGTGGGTTATGAATAGCTGGATCATCAATTCCTTGCCTCGCAGCCTTTTCTACAATAAAGATGGTGCACAGACTGGAATGGCTGGGCTCGCGGCTGCCGTTCACAGGGCAATCATGCGGGATCCTCAACATGTCATTCGTTCTCCAAAGCCTGGAATTGTGAAAAGCTGGCTCGAAGTCCCCGTTGACGATGTAAATCGTATGAGACAATCTGAGGTTTTAGCTGAAGCTATGAATATGGTCTTCGCAGGCCCCGGGAGCATGGCGGCCGCTCTCACGGCTATAGTATACCATCTGGGATCGGAAGAAGGACAGGTCTGGCAGGATAAAATTCGCAGGAAGGCAGCAGTCTCTAGTCAGAGTATAACGACTACCACAATCCCCATCGAATTGCAGGCTGTGATGAAAGAGACGATGCGTTTCCAAGGAGTCTTTCCAACGGCATTTCCTCGCGTGATCATGTCGGGTGCTGAAGGAGTCATTCCCAGCCTGTTAACACCGCTACCGGTCGGTACTACAGTGTCTGCGAATACCTATGTCCTGAGTCGGTCGCGCGAGATCTGGGGTGACGACGTCGATGAGTGGAGGCCAGAGCGATGGACTGGAGGTGCTGAACACAGGCGGCAGATGGAAACAAAGTTTGTAGCCTTTAGCAAGGGTCCGCGAGGCTGCGTTGGGAAGGACCTGGCACTGATCATAATGGCTAAAGCGATGATGGGACTCATTCTACAATGGCAGATCAGAAGCGTGGGCAGTCTGCGAGGAAAGAGCTGGCTGGAAATGCAGTATGACGACTGTTGGCTGGAGCTCAGACGATTATCCACAGCGCCGTGAATGGCGGCCGACGATGACTCGGTCGGCGCGTCGGGATCCCTTTTTGGAACGTCGGGGTCCCTTTTTGGAACCGACAATGATCCCATTATGGCATTCTACCGGACTGAGCTCTCTACTGGCCATTTCAATCCGTTACAATCGCCTCGAAAGCTTCGCCGTCGAGATTTCTGCCTGAGTCACGGGGTCCCACATGTGGCTATTTATATGGAGCATATCGCTCTTGCTCCGTGCCGATCATCCTCAATCGATCGATCCCATATTTTACCTCCCTGACAAGATTCTGCTCCCAGTTATCTGACAGAAACTTGAAATTCTCAAAGGATTTTACTCCTCCTGTACTGGTCTCTATTGTTGACCTACCATTCGGCTGCTGCTACGTCCTCATCACCAAGTTTGGATTATCCCCTCCTCGGCCCTCTTAAAGCACCCTCACCACCGTGCTTTCGAAAGAAATGTTGTCTGGCGGGGCACTTCCTCAAACACTGGGATCCATCACTGCAACCAAAATCAATGAACTCTCCAAACAACGAACGCTTTTCGAGAAGCGAAGAGCAGAGATTGTACAAGCTGCCGAGGATGCTCCCAGTCTACGATCAAAGGCCCAGGTCCTCCTGGAAGGGGTGACCAGGCTCAAGGGATTCCCTAATGATGCACTTGACCAGGAGGACCTAGATACGGACGGTTCATCGGATGAAGAATCTGCCGTTGAAGATCAGACTGAGCGCGCTATTCACGCTAATATTCGTCGCTTTCTTCTGCAAAGCAAGTATGATCCTTCTGTCTCAGACCGCAGCCTGAAAAGTTGGATTTCCCAGCTCGAACAGGAGCTTAGCTACCTCGAGCTAAGGCATAAGCATGCCGACTTCTATAGCGAGCTAGTCACGGAATGGCTGCGTGACTTCGAAGAGGTGGCTGCTTCTAGCTCGGCATCGGACAAGGACGGGTCGCAAGGAATGGCTTTCGAGAATGTTGGTCGGTCAGAAATGCACGAACAGCGAGCCACATGGGAGACTCTGGTCTTCACAGAGGCAGATGTAGATGGAATTGCCATTAAAGCATACCTTGACGGTCTATTTAAAGCAACAACACCCTCACAGCAAGCATTGAAGCAACTGCGGGACGCAGTCAGGACCTTTGGAACTGATTTTGCCTCGAAGAAATCTTGGCTCGAGGTCAGCGACCTCAAGTGGGTATCGGACTCATTGCTGAAGTCCGATTTGCTCACCAAGGAAAAAATGGCTGTTCTGAAGGAGTTCATGCGCAACCCGGCAGTCGCCCAGGAGGTGGTAGATGTTCTCAATATGCGCCTTGCTTCTCTTGACAACTGGAGCTGGCCTTCAGAGGGTATCCCAGTGGAGATGCGTCGCCAGCTGAATGGCAAATACCGGGTATACATGGACGAAGATCTGCTGGATAGCCTCATGTTCGAATACCTGGGGATGAAATGGTCAGTGACATTTCGATCTGCTTTCAACTCGTTTCTTGGCACACCAGCTTGGAAGTTTCTTCGCGAACGAATCCCAAGGCGCGAAATGTCGCGCCGTTCTCGATTCACGGGGACGAATGCCAAACGCCTTGGTACAACGAGTGTAAACGATCGCCGAAAGGAAACGTACAAACAAGACTACTTTATGAGCCTCCTACCTTCCTCGGTGGACGCGAATATGGACCCATATGGCGAGGATGCGGAGCCTGATAACGCAAAAAAGAACCCACTGGGAACGAAGCACTCACTGCTACATCTTCTGATCACTGAATCACTCCTATACACCTCGTTGCACGGCCAATTCACCGCTATTAGATCTGATTTCAAATGGTTTGGACCCTCTCTCTCGCACACCACCATACTGGTGGTATTGGAGTACTTCGGTGTCCCACGAATCTGGCTGGACTTTTTCCACAAGTTCCTAAGAACTCCGGTAACTTTTGCACAAGATGGATCAGGTGCCTCCAAGCGAACTCGGAGCCGAGGGATACCCATGAGCCATGCGCTTTCCACTTGTTTTGGGGAGGCCGTCTTGTTCTGCATGGACTTTGCGGTTAACCAAAGCACAGACGGGGCTTATCTATATCGGCTGCATGATGACTTTTGGTTCTGGGGTCACGAAGAGACTTGTGTCAAAGCCTGGACTACAATGGAAGAATTTACCAAGGTCATGGGCTTAGAGATAAACGAGGAAAAAACGGGAACAGTGCGCCTGAAGGGCAAAGATGCGGCAGACCATCATGGGCAGCCAACTGACTCTCAGGAAAAGGAACCGTCAGACCCTCTGCCTGAAGGAGATATTCGCTGGGGATTCCTGAAGCTGGATCCTTCAGAAGGTCGTTTTGTCATTGATCAAGAACAGGTCGACAGCCACATTGCGGAGCTACAGCGCCAGCTCTCATCCTGCAAGAGCGTCTTCTCATGGGTCCAGGCATGGAATAGTTACTTTGGACGGTTCTTCGCTAACAACTTTGCGAAACCAGCCATGTGCTTTGGGAGAAGCCATATAGATATGGCCATATCCACACTGAGTCGTATTGAACGAACTTTATTTCCCGGAACCTCCAGCGGGGTGACCGACCACCTGCGCCAAGTAATCGCAGAACGATTTGGTGTTAAGGACCTCCCAGAAGGGTTTTTCTACTTTCCTGTAGAATTCGGTGGGCTGGAGCTCCTGAATCCTTATATCCCTTTCCTCGCTATGCGCGAGAACATCAAAGCAACGCCTAAGGGTCGGCTGCATAAGGCCTTCATGCAATATGAAGTCGAGTACCATGATTGCAAGCGGCGATTTGACGAAGGGACTTCTGCTGAGCAATCTACTTCGCTGGGAACTGAACTGGACGATGACGTGGCTGACATGACTCTGGAGGAATACACCCGGTACTCAGAAACTCATAGCCGTCCACTTTTGGAGGCATACACGGAGTTGATACGTGTGCCCAAGGAGATCAGCATCAACCTGACGCCAGAACTGCACCGAAACCAGATGTCTCTGGACGCGAGCGTTACCAAGGATACTAATGGTCGCAACGCGATCTCGGATATGTGGTATAGCATGTCAGCATATTGGCAGTGGACGGCAGAGTTGTATCAGGAAGAGATGGTAAAGACTTACGGAAATTTAGCAGCTGTGAATAGGGAGTCTATGCCCCTGGGAGTGGTCAAGACGCTAAAGGAAGGCAAGTTCAGATGGCAGAGCTGATGATGAGGGTGGACTTGCTTATATCTGTATATTGTTTCTTGCTGGTATACTCCCTTTTCCAAGGAAGCTTTGTGTACATGAATGAAGAATAATAATTCCGATCAGCGGCTATGTGCTGTAATGTGCCTCGAAGTCAGATAGTAGGCGTTGAAGACGGTCTTTCTCCTTTTCGCCTCCGAAGATCGCATCGTAGGATTTTCTGCAGATGCCCAGCACATCGGTCCGCGTGAGCTGAAAGTGCTCTGCAGCTAACAAATACTCATTCGATACGGGACTGCAGAAAAACCCTACATCGTCGGTCTGCACCAGTGTCAGTTGGCGGTTCGTGTAAGAGAATAGGGCGATAAGGAAATATGATAGTAGCAGAGACTCACGCAAAGCACAATCGGGCAATTCTGATGTCTCCAATACCCGAAATGATGATCCAAAAAGCCACCATCAAACATTTTTGCGTGCACATTACACGACATACACAATTCAAGTCCCAACTGCCTCCTTGCAATCTCCCGTTTCAGCTCTTCAGGCACATGAATCACATGGCCCAGCCGGTCCGGCTGAAAGTCCAAGAGTGTCTCCAATTCTCCAGGAGTTGCCGCCTCCCTCATTTCGGCGAAATGCACAGTCACGCCTAGTCCGTTAGCTTTGGCTTTCGCAAACGCCTCCCGCAGCACTGAAACATCACCCTTGGTTGGGTTCCCGCAGACATCGATGCCCACGATGCCGCGGGCGCGGTGGGCTAGTGCCAAGTCTACAATTTCCAGGGCCTCAGCAGTAGTGTGATGGCCCCTGTCCAAAGCTAGAATCAGATATACAGACATCTTTGGGGAAGTGGGGGATTGGTTGGCCTGAAAATCCGATATTGCTTCAAGGACGGTAGTAAGGTATTCCTCCCGGGTGAAGGAGGAGGAGGGGGATGCACGGGGAATGGTGCGGAGTTCAAGGTAAGTTACGCCGTCGTTTTGGAAGTCGGTTAGCACGGAATGGGTGGCGTAGGTGAGGCTGGCAAGATCATTGACCAGATTGTAGATTGATTTGTTGAAGGACTGGAAAAATCTGGAAATTAAAGGTTGGTGGGGAGCGTCTTCAATGCATGTATGAGAGTGGAGGGACTACCCACGTTTGCAGGGAATAATCAACCTTCCCAGGCGGCATGGTTATCCATGGATCTTCTATGTTGATGTCAGGGTCCTGGGCCTTCTTCTTGAGCCAGATCTCATGGAGACATTGGCGGCTGATACTGCCGCTGAGGTGGGCATGGAGCTGTGGGACAACACACATTAGTGATCAACCTTGATTCTGTTTCTTCCCTAGTGCTGGAGAGTCGTTCTATTCGATTGAAACGTGTTATGCATGGGGTATGTACTTGCCTCGATCTTAGGGAGGGATTGGGTGAAGGCACGATCGACCGCTTTCGAAAGGTCCATAGTCGATCTTGGTCAGGTGTCTATTGTACACGGACTTGAGGATGTAGATCTATGTGACTAAGTGGCTGTCCGTCTATCTTGTTGAATCTGATTGATGGATGGAGGTGGAAGTTGGGAAGAAGGAGGGGGAGTGCAAGTGGGATGGAATGAGTTGGCGAGTTCAGTTAGTTGGGGAAAGAGCAGGTGACTTTTGCTGCACTCGTGGTTGCCCAAGGCGCCGTTCTTGACTTGTTGCCAGTTTACGCCCACTATCGACCATCTTGAAGCTATGAGTAACAGCTTGAAACAATATGCCTTCTGATTCGAAGAGATGAGGGTTTACCCATCGATACAAAAACTGTCTATTGGCCCTTCGCCGCCGTGACTGAACCAATGACCAGTTCCGACTACCGCTCAGGCTAACTATATCTTGTTTGAAAACCAGGAAATTGCACACAGCACACAGCACACATGCTGCAAGTGCGCTCCATCCGCTATCTCAAATCAGGTCTCTCAGTCGCTCGACGCATACAAGCTCCACATGGTGCCTAGAGCCTCAAATTAAAACACGGCATATAAACGAGATTCAAGATCCAGCGCACGGCCGTCCTCCCGAGACCGAGCACTTCCGACACGGGTCTCTGACGTGTCAAGACTCAAAACTCTTTCCATCCGATTAGTCCATTGAAATAATCCGACAAGGAGATACGGACAACAATAAGCCGTATGGCGTCAGATTGTTGACACCGTTTAGGATAGGTTTGAGTCATGGGGGTCCTCCGATGAGCCGTGTGATTCCGCTATCTACGAAAACATTTCGTGTCCATCGTCATGAACTAACTTTCGCGCCGGATAGACCGATGTCGTCTATAAGGCCTGCAATAAGCAATGATCCCACCAAGCACTTTTCATGAACCTCGTTCGATTCGTGCTCACATCCCATGGCATGTTCCATGGCCCTCTATGGGTGTCAGGTGTCTGTACCACCATCAGGCGATTGGCCAGTTGATTTTGCTACTATTTCTCGCCAATCTGATTTGCGATAGAATTGGTTGCCAGTGGCCTGTGTTACCAGGCCCACTGATAGCGTATGCCTCACACATTTTCGATCAGCGCGACTGATTGTTGCGTGGTTCTAGCGGGCGTTATTCTGCTGCTCGTAGCCTTGTAGGTGCGCCTCAACGTGAGATATAGAGTTTCTGGCATCATCTTAGCTGGTGATATCCAGCCCTTTTTCACATTGGCTATCTCTCAAGAAGCGGCATATATATGCTTCCATATTCAAGTTTCGTATAGATTGAGGCCCTGTGAATCCGTATAACGTATCTTTGATTCAAGTGGAGATTCGCGGCAAATGAACAGCCTTGCAATCAAACCGGTCCCGGGAAGCATTGCCGTTGAGCGTGAAAGGGACACAAATAAAAAATACGCCTTCACAAGTGGCGCGACACTTGTCAAAGAGGCACAAAATCCCAATGTAAATTAGAGTCTAACTGCCGTGATACAAAGCGAGAACAGACATAGCAAGGCAGAAACCGTCTCTATTTGATACGCCACGCAAGCACTTCGGCTTACTGCCCCCCAATTAAACCCCGTAGCTCTAGCAAACAACGGCTTGCGCTCAAAGGGAAATTATAGACATGAACGGGAGTGACACGTGTCGCGAGGCAGTTCCTTACGCTAAAGTAGCACTTGAAGGCTATGCATTCACCGGCGCAGGAAGGTCAGGCTACCTGCATACGCAGCATCCAGTGACAGGGAGAGTCTTTGTGGTACGCACCGATGGCTGCAGTAGTAGCACAGGGCAAACCGGAGCCCAATCTGATAACGGCAAGGGCGGCCGGCGACGCCGGGTGAGTTTTGTTCTTATTGGAGTGGCAGCATATGCTGGATCGGGAATCGTCCCACCTAGGGCCTGTCTGGGGTCGTTCGCTTGAGAGTTTGACCACGGTAAGCTGGATTGGAGTGAGAATCTGCGAAGCGGAAACAACCGGCTTTGCAAGAGACCGTACTAATCGTGTATCTGGCCTGTATTTTGTATCTCCACGGAAAAGGCAGACCCGCAGCTCAGTTTCGCCTCCGTCACGGCTCTCTGTAGGCTTGTATCGTCTGGCCCGGTTCTCGAAGGATTCGAGAAACCCATATACAGACGACTGGTCCAATGGAAAATTGGTGGATAGTGGGAACACGGAATAGCTGTCTCCAGTTTTATTTTTAGCCGATGATCCAGCTTAGGGCCAGGAAACAACGATGGTTGTGTGCTGTGAGTTAATGAGATGCTTTCAATAACCCTTAATAACTGAAACTAATTCACTAACTAGTTAGTGAACCCTGAGTGGGTCACGATTCCGAGGCGAGTGCTTGCCCTTGACATAACGTCATCAGTGCCATACTGAAGTTCAATTCAGGATCATGAAGGCTGCTCACTGTTGAAGATTGCGATATATTTATGACTATTCTGCCAATGAGTACTTTTATGGGAGAGACATCAAAAAACATCAATGTTATGGGTGGGGCTCGCCGGCCTTGTCCGTCTGGGATAGGTTTCGCAACTAAGGAGGGGCAACCGGAACATTACGAACCTTGACAGCGTCTTTGCAATCCATGAAATATACTGTCGGTGGAGCGTCTTGATGTCAATCAGGTGGATGATGTGAGAACCCAGTGGGTGCTTGGAGCGGAGGAGAATATTTCCGTTCGAGTCTCTTCGGTGCCCAGTTCTTAGTCAAGATCAGATTGGTCCCGAACAAAACCGCATTAGTTGTTGTAGGCAAACGTATCCAAGTACTATGTATGAACGACACCATTAAAGGATCGATTTACAAAAAGTGAGTAAGACGATTTGGTTCGTCAGTCAACATATATTGTGCTTATGAGGCCTCCGAACTTCGAGACAAGTCATTCTGATTCTACTGTCAGTTCCTCTTCAATTCGAAAGCGGACTCCATGTACAATTTCCTGCTCGACCTACTTGTTCGGTCTGCTAGGGTTCGCTTCCCTTAGCTGATGTGCCGACAGCATAGGCTTTCACTAACAGTGCTCATGATCGCTATGTCGTGTTGGAAAGCAGAATGTGAGAGTCAAAGGGGGAGTCTGAATGGCAAGCAAGAGCAGTACTTTAGAGTCGTCACCCCCCAGAAAAGAAAACAAATTCAACTTCACCGAAGCATTGGGCTCACCGAGGAGTTTAAGGTGAGTCAGGGATTAGGTGGGACGCCATTTTTTCATTCCTTAAGCGTCTGGTTTCCAGTGACGGTGATCAGGCATCTGCATGCATCCATAACATCACTACAAAGCAATCAGTATTTCATATGGAATGCTCCCTCCTGGAATTTCTATAGCGCCTTGTTGCGGGGGTGCCTGGAATTGTAAAATATGCCTCTGTATATCGCACACGAATGTGAAACAGAACAGGAACGTCTTCATTGTTCAGTAACTATGCAAAGCGACCCTCTGCAATAATTGATGCGGTTCATCTCATACACGATGGCCATGCTGTCCCGCGTGTATTTGAGAGGTATAGAGGAGTAACAGTGTGATCTCATGATTGAACAGCCATGGTCATCAAGTGCAAACTGTGAGGTCGCGGCAGTATCAAAGACACAATCGACTCAGTCGAGCAAGACCATTCAGATGACCGCAATGATATTTTGATACACCGTCCCTGGTCCCAATATCTGGATTTTCGCGATGAATTGACACAACAGATAGTAAAGTACCTAGTAGAAGTTAGCAGTTGGGGCTAATCCCGTTTAGTAGTAGTCCTCCAAGCCATTGAATTCAGATTTCCGGTCGAACAAGTCTGTTGGTTGAGAAGTCGTATTGCCACTGCAGTGGGCCGAATCGGCCGATGCCATTAGTAGTAGCCTCAATTTGGGGCCAGGGACCTGGACCAGGGTCTTCTTTAGCACTATGCAAGAATAATTGTTGCCCCAACCCACTTGACCCGGGTATTTTGTACGGCACGCAGATTACCGGGCAAGATCCCCATTCATTCGAATCGAGGGTGCCAAGTCAGAATGTCTCAGAAATTATTGGGGTCCGGTCCGACTAAAAAAAGTTGTATCGGTAGCCTATGTCACAAGCGATGTTTCTAACTTTCTCCCCAGACGCAGGAGTGTACCCGCTGCTGGTATGCTTAAGCGGCGGGACTCAGACCTGGTGCATCAAGGCAGCCAAAGAACTATATCCCAATGCGGTGCTGATACGATCGGTGGCTGAGATTTGAGGAGAGAAGGACGGAGGAGAAAGAGAAAAAGAAACCAAACTATCGACAGTCACGAGGCTTCATAATCGATGCTGAATGGAATTGGCAGTAGAGGGAGGGCCTTTGCCCGTGCGTGCTGCATAGTCAATTGGAAGGACTCATTCGACTATCAGCAAGCCACAACACGTTATCTGGCTGGTTGGCTGGCTGATAGGAAGGATTATCCATAGCAGAGCCGGATAGCGGCATTGTTGGGATCAAGACCGAGGCGTTGGCCGAATGACACCATGCAGCATGCGCCGTGCGACCGGGGATTGGAAAGACCGAACGAAGGTTGAAGCATCGAAGACGCATCGAAGGAACAGGCTCGACGAGGCTCAGCTCAGACGGTTTCCACTCCTACAGAAAGTAAAGGAGTTGCATCTTACCCCCTCTATCGCTAACGACTTGTTAGTATAGCCTTGCCTGCCCCCAATACCTACAAGGATGGCCGTACAGGATATGCAGCCTCGTTCTACAGGTGTCCTGGGGCAGGCGACAGGTTTATTAACTTTAGAGTTTCAGGGAAAAAATAGAAAAGAGGCCGAAGACGGATTAAGGTACGGCAAGACTCACTATGCCAAAGTCAAAATGCTCAAGGTACTGTGGTTGTTACTAATGATGATGCTCTATGTAATAGATTGTATTTTGAGTGTATGAGAGCTCGTAACGAGCAGCAGTAATTTTCAATAAAGAGCGGTAATACCAGCATCATCTGTTATTAACCAGCCACGGAAATCATTACGGCACATCATGGCAAGACCCCGGTATAGGGGGCGCAACGTTCCACTCAGTTGGGAACGGCTCTCTCGGCCGCCTTCTCTTTGAACCTCAGGACAGACATTGACGTTAGTAACTTTGGGTACCCAGTCT